CAGGTTCTCACATATCTGATTAGTGAGGACTGGGCAGGAGGAGCCCGCGAAGATGAGAGTGCCGCGCATGTTGAAAAGAAGAATGCGAAAGGCGAAGAGATTGGATTCGCGAGGTGGGGAGCTTTTATTACTGCGAAGGAAAAATTGAGTTGGGGACAAGGGGGCTGTTCAGCCGAAAAGCGGGCGGGCACGGAGCCAGGCGTTGCAGTGGGGTCGAACGGACAGTGCAGGCACGTGTAATGGGCGAGAAGGTGCTACCGTCACACTGTATTTATCCGGGCCGGAGATACCCTTTCCAGTCCCTAAGGCAGGGCCGCCGCTTCCTATGGTTGATGGGGACTGTACGTACCGTGTGTCACGCACCGTGACCCCGCGATGAGTTTCTGCAGGAGCTCAGGTCGTTCTTTCCATTACCTACCAAGGCAAGTATTCAGGCAGATGTCTTGAGATACCTCAATACATGTCCCAACATTCAATGGATTATTTGTAACGGGATCGTTTGATGGAGATTGGACCGCCGTAGTCAAAGGATTCGATCGGGTTCTAACACGCGGTATCAGTTGGGGAAGCAGCACATTAGAAGTAATCCCAAAGATTAGGTCAGTGGAAGAGATTTTGCAATAGATTGGCTGTTAATCTCGTGGCCCAGAGTGAGCCAATCTTCGTACATGTTTTAGTTCTAATGTAAGTCTATAAGGCAGAATCATTATACAATCATGGGAATTCCTCATCTCCTAAATCATCTCTCCCCTTATGGGGTATTTGGGCCTCTCGACGGTGACAGAGTTGTCATTGATGGCCCTGCTTTGGCATACCATATCTACCATCTCTGTACGAGAAGTACTTCCGGTCTGCCATCCTACGATATCCTCGGAAGAACCGCGATAGGATGGTTAGAAGAAGTCACCAGTCATGATATACCAATGTAATTCTTTCCTCCAAGACATGAAAAGACCTAAGCTAACGTTCAAAGCGCCGCCATCTACTTTGATGGCTTCCTCCCGGCATCAAAAGCAGAAGTCCGCCTCGAGAGGATACTGAAGGTATCCTCGTCCCTCAAGATCTTCCGCTCAGGTTTCCCCAACGGTTGCCCAGCCAAGCAAATTGCATCAACGCGTCTCTCACTACCACCTCTCTTCCCAACCGATGCCCCCAAACGAGACCAGCCCCTGATCCCACCACCAGCATTTCTCGTCGCAGCCATCGTCGACAAACTGGAATCGATCGAAAAGTATGCCTCTCTGGTCCGCCTGGTCCCCGGCGAAGCAGACGCCTACTGCGCAGAAGACGCGCTGCGCAACGGCGGAACCATCCTGACCTCGGACTCCGATCTGACCGTCCACGATCTAAAGACAGGATCCGTCGCCTTCTTCAGAGACCTCCACATCGGCACCACCGACGACGACAAACCCGCTCTCCTAGGCCCAAAATTCTCCCCATCAGAGATCGCCAAACGTCTACAGCTACCAGAGGACCACGGCATGCGCAGGTTCGCCTACGAGCTCTCCAAATCCACCCGGCCCAAATTCGCACAAGTCCTCGAAAACTGCAAAGGCGAGGTCGCAGATCCGGAAGAGTTCCGCGCCTTCTGCGCACCGTACGAGACACTGGAGACTACAGACTGGAGCGCTGTCCCGATTCTGGGCAGCCTCGACAAACCCTACCTCGACGCGAGGCTATCCGAGGTCGTCCTGCAGTGCGTGGGCTACTCCGGGGTAGCGAAGCCGCTCGCGGCCGACTCCGGCGCCGCGGGCTGCATGATGTGTCTCCCGCCTCTCCTAGACTGTCCAGCCCGTGCTAGCGCATGGGATACCAGCGCTTCCGTGAGACAGCTGGCATACAGCCTCACGTGTCTGCTGCGACCCGGGGGCGTCTCCCACGTGAGGGAGTACCGAAGAATGTCGTCTGGCGTGAACCAGGGCAAGTACATGGCGATGCTGCCCCGGCCCTGGATCAAGGACTCGATGGATGCTCTCCTCAAGACCTTGACCAAGGCAAAAAGTAGCCTTACCCAAAAGGGCTCGTCCTGGCAGGCAGTCAGCTTGCAGCTCCTTCTCGCTCACGCGCAGGAAGAAGATAAGCTGGATGCGTGTCTGAACTCCATCAAGCTAGGCCAATCGGTGTCGGCAGACTCGAACCTCGTCCCGTGGGATGTCGTGCACCTATCGGCGCAGATCCACGCGACGCTCTACTCTCTCCGCATCTTGGCCCAGGTCCTGGATCTCATGTACGAGGTCGGAGCCAAGGACCCGATCCAAGGCTCCAAGCAACTGCGCGAGTTGTTGTCCACATTGCCACCTCTCACTGAGTATCCATCAGTCGATGGGATAATGCGCCTTCTCGCGGGTATGAAAACCAGTGGTGCGCTTGGCAAGGTCGCCACGGCGCTGGGTATTTCGGACGATTTGCTTTTGCCATCAAAAGAAGCCAAAAATCAGAAAAAGAAGCGGAAGAAGATGGCAGACGCAGAACCTCGCATGAGGCCCGAGAAGAAAGTGTCTTCAAATCCCTTTGATATCCTGGGTAGCGAATAACAAGGCTAAAGACGCCCGACATAGCCGCCGCCTATTTCCGGAGCACTTCCATTAAGCATAAAAAGTGATTAGGGAAGCGAAAGCCTTATACCCGTGATCTCACATATAACAGTGTCATTATTCGTATCACACAACGGCTACTCAAAACAGGGTTCCATCGTCGTGAACCTGCGGAATGAAACCAGGGCACAGCCAACCTCTGCCCTCAGGGCAGGTGAAGATGACCTTCCCATCTCCGCGCAACAAACCCATCTTGAACTGCCAATCGGTCTTCACAGCGATGCCATTGATCCGCAGCCAGTACGCCAGTATACCTTCAGGCGTACATCCTTCCTGGCCCTCTGGCTTCTTCTCCCTGGTCTTGGTATTGAATCCCTTCCACTTCGCCGTCTCCTTCTCCAGAGTCCGCATGTGGATAAACTCGCGGTAGAGCGCGAGGTAGGTAAACATGGCATTGGGGCGCCCAAAGGCGGTGATGTCTGTAACGCCCGCGCGCAGCTCGCCGTCGTGGAGCATGGCGTACCACGTCCAGTCCAGAGTAACGCGAGGTGCCAGGATGCCGTTTTCGGGTACCTTTAGTGACGAGAGGGCAGGCGAGTCGCCCCAGTACAGCAGATCGAGACGGCCCTTGTAGATGTAATCGTAGGATATGCCCTCCTTGATCATGTAGCTCTGCACCTGCAGGCTGGCGAGGTATAGTGCCTTCCACTGACTGAGCTGGTGGTTGAGTTTATCGTTGCCGCACTCCTTCACTAGCACCTCGGGAGGATCCACGGCGTTCTCCTTCACACTGTCCAATTTCAGAATCTCCACAGTCTTGAGCGCGTCTCCAAAGCACGACTTCAGGTGCTTGGTTATGCTGTCCTTGTCCACCGGGTCACCGGAATCGTGGTTGACATCTTCCAGGTACGTAAACACGTGTACGTCGACACCGCCGCTCCCAGTCCACGTCTTGACGAGCTTATTATTCTGCTCCTTGCAAGTCTTCAAATAGGTGCGCAAAAAGCCGGTGTACACGATCGCGAGACGTCCCATATCATCTGAGGCGCGGTGGAGGAGGCAGGTGGTTTTGCTCCCAGCGCGAATATGCAGCTTTCCAGAGTTCAAAAGCTCCAGAACCGGTTTCTCGTCGCCACTCTCAACAGAAGCGCAATCGGGTAGGAGATTCGAGATCCATGGCGTTGCGCCGTACGGGGCAGCAGTCTCGTTTGCCCACGAGAGCATCAGCACGCCCTCCTGGGTGAGCTCGACCTGCCATGACACGGGCCAGTGGTACTCGGTATCGGACGTGAACAACTCGATCTCTGTTTTGGTGTCGAGGAGCGAAAGGGAACCGCTATCGAGGAGATTGAGTTCGTAGCGACCGTTTGGCGAGGCGAGATGGAACGGCGACAGCGACTGGCCAGCTTCGAGCTTTGAGACCGTCTTCTTCGTATCGGGTTTCGCGCCTGTGGCGGGAGCAGGTGTTGGCTTCGGAGCCGCGTTTGCCACGCTGTGCGATGTAGCAATTGAAGCCAGAGATGTGATCACCTCGTTGGCATGATCTTCGACGGGGCCGTTCGGTTTATCGGCACCTTTCGAGACATCTTTGCCGCCTGTCGTTTGGGCGTTGTGGCCGAGCTGAGTGGGCACGTTGTAGCCTACGTGGGGGAGCTGCGGAACTAGGAAGATTGCCGCGACGAGAAAGACGGCGGCCACAATGGCGAGCCGCGTACAGGTACCGCTTAGCATCTTTCAATGTGTTGTGTTGTTTCTCGAAAGACTGTCCATTGCTGTGACTGTCACGGCCTTTGGTTTGCGCCTTCTGCTCGTGATGAAAGGGGCCTGCCGAGGCGTCTGATTCTCACAGCGGCACGGCGGCAGGTTCGCGAGGGCCAAGCACATCGCTTATCGCTTATCGCTTATCGGAGCTTGGGCGAGCATACCTAAAGCTGCACAATTCCGCCCGTGAGCATCTGAGCCCCGCTTAGTTGCATATCGGTATCATCTCATCATCGGATTCAGTAAGCTACGCAATGACTACCTTACCAGACAGTCAATCCCGATCTCAATTGTGAATAAGAGTGAGAGTCAGAGCTTCTGTGATGGTCAATTTGATTATCCTGATCCACATTGCGATGCACTATGTAGTTGTTTCAGGGAGATAGTGGGCATCCTACCATCAACTGGGCATGATTTACTGCGCTACTCATCCAGAAGTACTGAATTATTTGGACAATACTGAAACAGCACGGGCATCGAGTGATGATAATCTGCTATGGGTCAAAAATTGCGATGTTCATGTTGCCAGTATCACTCTTATCTTTGTATGCCTTGAAATGCATGTTGATAGTAGATCGAAGGATGAACTTCGAGAGTGCTATCTGAAAATCTTGAGACGGAGCTAAAGAATTTGGCTCTACGTAAGTGTTGAAGGAAAATGAATTCTTACGGCACCCGTCATATTTTGGTCGTATGGTTTCCACCCTAAGTCCTAGAAGTCCTGAGTGGGACAGGCTGGGCGCTGTCATCAAGTCCAGTGGTCACTGGAACGGCTTCGTAGCCGGCCGGTAGTCGTCCCTCCAGACCAGACTTCGTTCCGACTTTAGAGACATTAGTATCACGCCAGAGACAGGTCATGGGACGGAATCAGCAGCATAGACTTACAGATACACATATACACGAATTCCACGACTAATGGGATCCACGTTGCTAACGCAACGCTCCAGCTTTGCCGATCACTCGGACGCCCTGTGATATCTAATGTCTTCCTCCAAATGCGGTATAGCAGGAAGAGCAAGTACCACATCAAAGCCAGGAGAACTAGTAACACGAGATAAGTTCTCTTGGAATTCAAAAAAGTGAGGCGGGAATCCAAGTTCATTCCCTCTACGCTGTTGTTGCCCCCAAACGCTGGTATTAACCGGTCTGCTCGGCTCAAAGGCCAAGTGTTCGATCGGTAGTCAGCGCCACGGTCTTGTAGTACAACAGGAGCTCCAGCTCTCCGTTTTCTGGATATCATTTTGATCCATGACGGGACAAAATAGAAGAGGAGGATCGCATTGAGTGCCGATCATAGTGCCGTTATGGTTATGTAAGACCTAGAGTGCAGAACGAATCGTCTTCTTGGTAAAAGAATCAGCCGTGAATTGAACGACTACCTAGTCTAACTTGATACCCGGAGGTCAAGGTGAGCTATGGTATCGCTATGTGATGCCCTATCTCCAAGTTTCGTTCCAGACGGTGATAGCCACTTCATAAAAGGTATGAGTTGAAGTATGAGACTGATCAATGTTACCATATGTACGTCTCGTCGATGAAGGTTATTGGAATAGGTGCTCGCAGGGCGAGTTCGCTCACAATGCAGCGAGCTTCGTCTACCATCGGTGCAGGTCCACTGACGACGACCGCCAAGCTGCCGTCTGCATTGCCAACTTCCTCCTCCAAGACAGCACGGAGCCTGAATCTGTTGCCTACCGAGACGTTTGCATCGACGCCGTTGAGATCGACGCTCTGAACGAGCCCTTCGGTTCGCGAAGACCAATACAGCTTCGCGTTGCCGGGATACGTCTGCAGAATTGGGGCTACAGCTGTGATAGCAACACCTCCTATGATGCAGACAAGTTTCTGATACTTGCTGAGGTCATGGTGTGGAAGATACCCTGCTTCGACAAAAACTGGCACTCGAGTGTGTGAGCGAAGCAGTCCTGTTGCCCCCGTGAAGGATCTGACCAGGAACGAAAGCCCGACGCGGGACTTCTCCTTGACAGCAGCCACCTCCATAACACTCGACTCCTTTGAGTAGGAGTTACCCGAACTCTGAGGTGGCATAATACTGTTATTCATCGACTTTGCTGAAGCAGGCTTCACTCTGGAGGCCAAAATGGAGAACGGGTGGCTCTCCCAAGGTCGCCATGTAAGTGTTGGGAAGTAGAGGTAGGCGTGCCCGCTTCCGACCGCGCCGTCAATGTCCAGCTGCATATACTCCTCGTCGATGATGGTGATGTCAGCCCACATCAAGCCATTCCTCGCCATCCGGATTACTCTCGCTACCCGATCGAACCCCCAAACGGCGAAGCAGATGTACATCCAGATCTCATAACCCCACTGGTCTTGGAATCTGTAGACAATGTGTAGGTACGATCCGACTACGGCGAAAACAGCAAGGACGATATGAACAGCCAGGAACAGCTCGTAGAGTTTGGCGCGGAAGGGAATGACCGAAGCCGGCAACAAGATGCTCATTGCCAGCGTGCCGATGATGCCCCAGACCCAGTAGGGCAGCTTGGCTTCGATATCATGCTGGCCCATGCTGACGTAGATCTGAAGCCAAGCTGCCGAATGAAGGCAAGCCTGGAGAGTACAAAAGTACGCGGTCCACCGATGCAAGAGCATGAAAGTGGACTGGGTCCAGTCAGTAACCCAGTACAGGAAGTTGTTTCTCCCAGCGTAGAGGATGAGGAGCGGTAAGTTCGCAAAACTCAGGACACCCATGCGATTGCTAAAGGACGTCAAGAGCTCCTGGTCCTTGTTATTAACCCACCAGGCGTTGGGCTGGGCCGAGTCGTAGCCTACACCACTGAGGACGACATTGACGGCTACCATGTAGAAGATCAATATTGCCTGACCACGTGTTGGCATGATCAACAGGTTGAAATAAGGAGCCTTATGTCTCCGCCCGAACAACGGTGGGTCTATGAAGAGAGCGTGGATCTTCGAGATAAGCAATTGGGGCAGCGGGATAAACCGAAGCAAAGAGAAGAAGATTGGGACTGCTGCGCCCAGGGCAATTAGGATGAGACTTTGAAAAGGTCAGCAAGACTTCATCCCAGAACATAAAAGACAAGACCTACCCATATCTCTCGTGGGCAACCTCCATCTTCTCGAACATGCCCATGGTGTTGTACTGCACTTGATAGTCGGCATCTGACACCAGAGACTTTTCCTTTAGAGGCAATGCAAACACTACAGTGGCTGTAGGAGTTCCATTCACATTGCTGAGTGCCTCCTGGTAGGTCCACTTCGGCGCTGGGGGGTAGGCATTGACATTGACGCCTGGTTCGTCAAGCCTCCTATGGCTATTGCGGATGCTAGCTTCGGTCGACTGCCAGTACTTTTCGATCTCCCATATTGAGAGATCAGTACATCTCTGTGGGAAGACGCTAGTCAGCTTTCGGTTCTGGTTTAAGCAGAGGGCCGAACTCACCGTATGAATGCACCATGCAAAAGAAGTCAGGAAGACGTTGTCGTTGGCATAGCATTCCGGCGAGGTATCGGCCATGGTCATGCCATGAATCTCCATCACATTGCTGCAATTAAGTGGACTGGCTGAAAGTGCCACACGACACGAGTACGCACACAGGGGCTCATTGAGGAATTAGTCCATGACATTCCACAATGTTGAACATAATAACTAACCTGGTACATGGTGATACCATAGCCAATGAGTCCATGTCCTGCAATGCCCACTTCTTCAGCAACCACACCGCCAGCCATACCTGCGGCCGCCAGAAAAACGGCCGCAAGGCCTGGAAGTGAAGACATCCTCATGGACTGGACCACTTTCAACGAATGTAGCAACGTACGCAGTCTCGATTGGGCTAGAAACTATCCACAACTCTGCCTCTTGCGTCGAAAAGAATGTGTTCAAAAGTTCGGAATCGGTCTCGGTTTGATTTTTGGACAAACCCAAGTCCGTATTGTGGGCAGTCAATGTCTTTCATAGAACTGAACTAGAATGGGCGCATGCTTTGCCTGACTACTGTGCCGAGGTGCCGGTTCTACGAGCCATTGACCATCATCTCTGAATCATACACAAATCGATGAACTGGGAGAATACCGATCCTTGCCAAGACCCGTTGCCAAGTCCGATTCATTTGGGATGAGTTCTGTCATTCAATATGTTTCCCCGGGTTCTGCTGTCGATTTGCCGGTGGTTCGCGGTGTCCACCCCGATTCCCCGACCCGAGCTCAACCTCAATTCCCGGTCTACAAGTGAGCCAGTGGGACATTACTTCTGCCTTCCTAATCGAGCTTTACGACTATTGGAACGATCTAAAAATCGAAAGCAGTTTGAAAGATCATTGTAACTGTTTTAGAATCTGGTTGTGAAACATTTGGGCTCCTTTCCTCTACCTTGAGAGGGAAACGGCGATAGTAAATTTGCTTGGAGTATAGTGTAACTTTATCCCAGCCTGTGAAATCCTCCAGGCATGAAGCAATAATCTTATGAAACCAGTGACTTGGAAGAATGTCTCCGTATGATTTGAGAACATTGTTCCATGAATATTGATGATGAAGCATTCGACTTTCTAGTCGAGAAAACACCTGACTTGCTGATTGAAGTCATAGGTTTCGCAGAAGTGAGCTCGTGTTAAGGAGCGGTTTAGACTCATTATTACATCGAGCCGTCACCTACATGGTTCAAATCAGCTTGTGAATCCTGTGTAATGGTCCATATCTAGTGTGGTGGCGAGTTGGGTGGTCGCTAGGGACCTCAATTGCCAGAGACACAGTTTGTCCTCAGGCTCCTCTTTCCCTTGAGTGTTCCTATGATAACATTTGATATGTCAATGTTTGTGGAGTTATGGCATAGGTCTAAGATCAAAGCCCAAAGCCAGTTCGTAAGCGAAGATTCGCCAGTTCTTGATACTTGTATTGTTGGTAAATTGTCACTACTACGACCAACGGCGCTGGTGAAAAATTGCTCTCTGGTACTAATATACACCGAAGCCCAAAGATTTTGTGCTTGTTTGCTAAATTACTTTTTAGGCTGACTCTTCTGTTCCTTCGCATCGTCAAATGACCTCTTCTCCTTTCTGACGTTCTTCCACTCCAAGAGAATTGCAAAGAGGAATGATATGGCGGCTAGGACCATGGCCAGCTCAAAGGTTCTCGTTAAGGAAGTGTTGACCTTGTCCAATGCATTCTGATACTCAGCGGTCCCATTTCCGAAAATCTTTTGCAGGTTGTCCTTAATCTGAGTAGCTCCGCCATGGCCATAAATCTTAGCAGCAACGGCACTACCAAGGTTCTTGGAAAGCTCTTGCTGGAAGACGCTTTGCGCAATAGGTACTGATAGAGCAACTCCTAAAAGTCTCGTGAAAAGGGTCAGACTAGTGCCCTTGGGAATCTTCTCGTTAGGCAGTACGGTCTGAACGGCTACGTTGGCCTGTTCGGCTCCGACACCGACGCCAGCACCGACAAGAATCTGAGCGCCAACACTGAAAATCGTTATCAGTAACCTGAAGGATCTCCGGTGGAGTAGATGGTAGACTTACAGTATGCCAAGTGCAGCATCAGACTTGACGGTCATCAAGAGCGCAGAACCGGCTGTGACCAGGAGGGAACCCAGAATTACGAATGGATTGTAGAATCCAATCGCCATTACAAGACCTCCAGCTACAATTGAGCCAACGGCTGTACTGATGCAGAGTGCTAGCTGTTTCAAGCCAGAGGATTCGGCATCATCTCCCCGGATCGATTGGAACCTAAATGCCTTAGTGTAAGCAACAACATCTAGATGGCTAGTTGTTTCCAACACTTACCAAACAGGCAAGTAGAAGATGAAAACACCAAAAGCTCCATTCAAGAAGAGCAGGTAAAGGTTAGAAGACGCAACGGAACGTTGTTTCACAATACTGAGAGGCACTGTAGCATCGTCTCCCTGGAAGTACTGTAGTGCCATCCACGGGAGGAGTGTGACCCCGAATACAACCAAGACTGCGATGACGCGCGCGTCGTTCCACGGATACTCACCACCGCCCCACTGGAGCGCTAACATCAGACAGACCAGAGAAGCCAGTAGGAGGGTAGTGCCAAGAAGGTCAAACTTCTTCGCCAGCTGGATCGGGGTCATAGACCTGAGCTCCGCTGAGGTCCGGCAGAGGGAAGGGGGCAAACAGAAGATGACGACGGCGACTACTACAGCTCCGATCGGGAGATTGACTACAGATATCAGATGTTGAACCCATGGTATGAAGATAGAGAAGAAAACCTACAGTAAAAGCACCATCTCCAAGAAGCTCTCTGGGTAATAGCACCACCTACAGGAATATTAGCTTTGGGTACGGATCACGAGATAGATAACCAGCAACTTACCCATGATAGGTCCGATAACACTGGCAATGGCATATGCAGCACCGAATAAGCCCGCAAACAGACTCCGCTTTCTAAGCGGCGTGATGCGAGCAATGACGATGAATGAGCCACCGAATACGCCTGCCATGCCCACACCCTGAATGGCTCTACCAATGATCAAGGCAACTGACGTCGGTGCAGAGCCGCAAACCGCGCTACCAGCGAGGTAGATGATCACCGAGGTCAAGAACGTCCATTTGTTGTTGAAAAGCGAGTAAGCTTGACCAAAGGGAAGCTGCAACGCAACGGCCGTGATTTGTTCTCCCGTACTGTACCATGCAATGTCATCGGAACTATTGAAGACGCTCGTGATGGTGGGGATAGCTGTCGCAAGTACGGTTTGACTGACTGCCACGATGAAAACTGAGCAAAAGAGCGCAAAAACAATGAGTCCCAACTGAGCGCCTGTCGGATATGGTGGTTCATCTGCCTCGGGCTCGGGCTCTGTTTTCTCTTGCGATTCCGTCGTGCCGGTCGAATCGTCGCTGCCTTTCATACTGCTGGCCAGAGAGGAACCGTTCGCTAGGGCTTCGGAGGACTGCCATTCTTTTTTGAGGGGATCCCCGAGGCTTTCAGGGGGCGACATATTTGGCCGAGATCTGGTTGATCAATCTGGGAAGTGGAAAATATGAGGGTTTGATTCGCTCAAGCGAGAACTTTCGAGCAAATGTCTAATATTGGCACGGAAAAACAACTAAGGACGTACGAAGTGAAGATGATTACTGGTATTCGGATGCCTTTATTCTAATTGCCGTGGCGCTACTATTGTCATCGCGATTCATAGCCCAACTGGGTTCGCCGATGATCAAGGTTGCGTTGCCGGGGACCGGGGCCAAGCTTTGACCGCGTCCTCGAGTTCCGCCCACCTGCTGCCCACATGAGTGTATTTCTGAGACTGTAACTGTCACTGGCCACTACCGAGATGAATGGTATCTGTACTTTTAGAGTTTTGACAGAGTGAACCTACCAATCAGCTTGGCTGCTCATGTTGAAAACCAGGGTGAACCGCTATTCCTCATGACTCATCGCCGATCGTATTGTCCCAATTGAGTATACGAGAGCCCCATTGTGGAAGGGACTTGAACAGAAGATGTTACCTTGAAACTGGACCGAGTGATGCCTCTCAGTTTTTACAAGTAAACTTTTCTCATCAGCGATACCCAGTAAAACATAAGTAGTCGGGGAACCCACATGTTCAACCGCCGGTCGATCCAAGTGAAAGAACAAGATGCCTAGATCGCGGTGTCCACAGCTCGAGGGCACCGTTTCTGCTGTCTCATATTGAATGAAGACATGAGAACATTCAAATCGAATCTAGAAATATTACCGATCCTCTTACTTCTCGAGAAAACGTGGAAATTGAGGTTCGCTCCGGCCTCGATGGACCGACCTTGCATAACCAGGAACACGACATTTTTAGATTTTTCAACATGAAGAGTACTCAAGTGAGAAACGAATAATACAATAGGATTTCAAATAAGTCAACTGGTAAAAGACTCCAACCAGTTTGGATAAACAGTCTAAGTCAGTAATTAATTTTCCGAACCTCCAAGTGTTCCTTACCACCACTTCATCCACTTCATGAGGGGAAGGACTTGGCGATGCCACTATAGCCTCGGAATATATTTCATAGAATAATAGTAGACAATGGACTATAGAAAAAAAGGAATATCTGTGGATTTGATTCTGGAGCTAGACAAATCCAAGACGGTTCAAATCAGCTAGAGCTCGTCCTCCAACCCAACCATCTTCAATGAATCAGCCCACAGCTTCTTCTCTCCCTCCTCGTCGAATGCCCACGACTTGAAACCATATCCAGCCCAGTTGGTATCATCGGGAATGGGCTTGCTAACACCGCAGTCCTCCATGTAGAACCCGCCAATGCCATCATACTGCTTACCCACACACGCCAGCACACTTGTAGCAGCACCTTGCTGAACACTCTTCCACACCTTTCTGATATGAGGCATCTGAATGAGCTTCTCCAGCATCTTGCGAGTCTCCTCGTCCGAAGACTCCATCAAACCGCTGCCGAAGCCACCGGGATGGATGCTGATAGCGTGAACCCCCTCAGATCCGTAGCGGCGCTCGACTTCGTTGCAGAACCAGATCTTTGCCGTGTTAGAGTGTGCATAGGATACGCCAGGCTCGTAGCCCTTGCCATTGGGGTTGGCCGTGTCGTAATTGTTCTCTGGGAGAACAGTCGAGGCCGTGTGAGATGTGCTAGAGGTGGTGACCACACGCACGTTCACGTTATTGTTCGCAGCCGTGTCCAGAAGAAGAGGCTTGAGAAGTTGGAAGAGGTAGAAGTGCGCGAGGTAGTTGACGCCAAACTGCTGCTCGTATCCTTCTTCTGTGTAGCCGCGTGGTGTTGCTGCAATGCCTAAGGATCGTCTGAGTTAGCAACAACT